CCATACCATATTCGGTCTTTCCCCATTTGTTCTGGCAATCTCTACTGTTACTGCTAAATCACTGCCATTTCAAAATGCCCTGATTAACCTTTTTTATGCTGAGTGGGTTATTAGAATTGATGTTCTTTGGACAAAGCTCCCTTCCAATGGTCTCTGGATATTAAATGCCTGAGTAGAGAATGGATGCATCTCTTCCAGGGTCAGCACATACACCTAAGTGCTAAGGCACCATGACACCCACACAGCCTGCCATTGCCCACACTGCAACTGCTAAAGCCCTACTACATGACTACAAGGTTTTCCTAGTATATCACTAACCAAATGAGCACTTCTAGCTTTTAAGGGAATGTAAGACAGGTAACTGCACAATAAGTCAACAGAGAAGAAACAGTAGTCTCAGAAGAGACAACTACATGCTCTCCAGATGCTGTGGAGTAGATCCCAGAATCCCTAATCAGTATCCGTGCTTGCTGGGGCTTATGGGAGTTGTGGTTCAACCAAAGGGCACCCAATCACCTACCTTTCAGCATTAAGAGCTTATGATCACCAGTGTGTCCCTTCTTTCATATGTGAAACACTGAAGGATATTCTACAAAGGCATGCAACCAGCCTTTTGCAAATCCACACAACAGTATTGTTTAAAAAAAAAATGAAGCAAAGGAAGCACAGACCCAAATCACAGTTGAGCTAAAACAGCTTGCAGGACTTGGAGTAGATGGCCATACAAAGCTGTACTATTACACTAATTTATGCTTGCCTCTTATCCAGTGGAATCAATTCAGGTATGATTTTAGCTCAAGTCATTTTTCCTTTAAAAAATCCCAACAGCAAGACCCTGCACAACCAGGTGAAAAATAGATAACTCCTTCAACTAAATTAATGGAACTGTTCTTAATTCTTTTACAAAAAACAGCAGTCTTTTAATAAACCATGACACCAATACTTATAAAGCTACAAAGGAATTGGTGCTGTCAGTTGTGTCTCTCCTTAATAAAATGGACATCTAAAAAGAACAACATAGCAATAGAACAGCAATAATATGCACACCAAAAGACACTTGATACAATTCTTAAAATATGACTCAAGGAATAGAATTATTTTCATTATTTCTATTACATTACATTTATAACTCAGCTTGCTTCCTCTTGCAAAAAATTCAAAGCAGCTTACAAGGTTCTCCTTATCTCCATTTTATCCTCATAACAACAACCCTGTGAGGGAGAAGAAGCTGAGAGTCTGTGATAGGCCCAGTGAGTTCCATATCTGAACAGGGACTAAAACCCAGGGCTCCCAGATCCTCAGTCTAAAACTCTAACCATTATACCACACTGTCTCTCAAGGATGTACACTTTGGATATTTTCAATATTTGTTGCATTTATACTCAACAGAACAATGTATATACTACTTTTACCTCTAATATAGTTTCTATTGTTATTATCAAATCTTTGTGTCTTGAGAAAAGATTTGATAAGTTTCTGTCTTTGATTTGATAAGTGAATTTCTCCCCACAAATTAGCATTATCTTATGTTGCTGTTGTGCCTTCAGCTAGATATATGGCAAAGGTACAGAATGCATGATGCAAATTTCACTGAACATTTCCATCTTGGCTTTAATTGAACAACTTCAGTTTGAGGAGTTAGTAACGCTAGTTGATATCCACTGTGCTACCACACATCCATGGGAACAACTGCTTGCACAGTGGGGATATCGGAGTTCTTAAAAGGAAACCCTTCTTCCTGGAACGGGACAGGTCAATGATGCTCACAAAAGGAAGCTCCACTGACCTATCCCCACCTAGAAACAGCCATGCCTTGAATTAATCTTAGAAGTTCAAAAGCCCCACTGTGCAAGAGATTGCTCCCATGGTCACAATGGAACTAGCAAGGCAAGAGTGGCACCACTGAATACTGTTTCTTGGCCCGCTTATGTAGCTCTGAGGTAACTTCTGGTACTGGTAGGCTGGGTGAGATGACACCTAGGCATGTGTTGTCCTTACAAGAACCAGCATATTGGATTTCACTGCGTGCTACAACTGGTAGGCCAGTCATGAGTACAATCATGAATCTTTATGGTGCATGCGTGTGCATGTGTACTCATGTGCACATCCTGGAGATCTGAGTGGTCCCAGAATAATACAAAGACCACTAGAATTATTTCAGTCTGTTTCTACAGATTTTTTCTTCAAAAGGTTGTATATAATCAGAGTAGTTTCACTCCCCCACTTTAACTTCTCTTTTCATTTTTTAATTTTCTAGTGGAATCTATTTTTACCTTTCCTTTCTCACTATATTTTGAGTATCTAATTACCTAAGCTGCTCCTCTTACCATTTTCACCCTTTGAACAGTCTCCTAACTCCTGCAATTCACAGATTTGGGAATTCCAATCAAAAAGCAGGGTACAAATCTAAGCGGATATATTACAGAATGCACAGTAAAACATCCTTCTGTATAAACTCATAATCACATCACAAATGTCAACACATTATGAAGCCAGAACTTGGTTTATAATAAAAAATAAACATGTTTTAATATGGGCTTAACTGTAGCTGGGCTGCCCATTACACCTTCTTTTCCAGTTTGTACTTTGGGTCTGCAGGTGCATGGATACAAACTAATTACTCTGGTTTTATGTTCTTTTAAAAATCTCTGCTTTCTAGGTTAGCAACATATTTCTTCATGTGTTCTGGAAGATGCTTTAAAGTCTAAAGTGGATAGAGCTAAGGCAGCGATTAGATTGTCCACCCCACACCCAAAGAAATCCAATTGCTTAGCAAAAGAGCTGCAGTACACTGCGGTCTGTCTTTACCCAGCTGAGGTCTTAGCTGTGGCAGCTCCTTCCTGTTTCAAAAAGCTTGTGTAGCTCACTTACAGATGGATGCATGAAATGTTATCATTCCAGAATCAGTCACATGGTGGTCACCCCAAATCCTTCCCTGCAATCCATGTTCATTGGTCTTATTATGGTGTTGCAGCACTAAAGGCAACTGTGCTATTCAGAGAGAATGTACAAGGATTCAAATGAATTGCCCAGTATGCAAAAGAAAGAACTCATTTTCCATATTCTGCGCCATTAATCACCAATTCAACAAGTCGTTTGGTTACAGCAATAATCATCAGCAGGCATTCAAGGCATGCTCAGTGTGAGTGACCTTGTGAGCCTTTAACATGTTTACCACATAATCAGCAGGGAATTCCATTTTCAAAATACAAGACTTCATAATCCATTAGCAACAGAGATTGGCCCAGAGCACTGGATTTTATGGTCACGTGCATTGAGAAATAATATATATATATATATATATTAGCATGCAGCTAGATTAATCTTCAGCCCTGGAAAACTTCCCTCCACCTCCCCCGCACACAAACCATATCCTAGTCATGCATACAGCAGTTTCATTCATTTTCAAGGTTGCACTTTGAAAAATTCAAAACCTGCCTCTTTGCAGAAACACACAAGAAAAGGAAGAGGGGCTATTCAGCTAACAGCTCAGTGAAGGTACCATTGCCTAACTAGCTCCCATTACTTGATTTGTAGGTTGGTTATATAATTGGGGTATGAATAACACTTGTTCATATGAGAAATATCTCTCATTCGGCATCCCCACTTCTATTAAAAATATATACATAAATAAAATAATGAAATCCCCAACAAATCCGTTTTTATAATCAAGGCCTTTGGTGAGATTAAAAACCAAGCAAAGTGGTTTAGCTCACAGTCAAGTCCAATAAATCAGAGAAAAGAATCAAGTCGAGAGCATTGCAGAATGTAACCTTGGCAACGCAAAAAATGCTCCAACAGAACTTAGGCGAATTTGCTTTATTCATTGTTTCTGAAATTGGAACTGTGAAAAAGAGTATGATAATACATACAGTGCAGTAAGTAGCTAGAAGCTACAGTTTCAGTGGCACACACAGATTTCAATATGCATCTTGCATACTGAAAGATAAGCCTCTTTCTCAACCTGCCACCCTCCAAAGATGTTGGGACTACAAGTACCATCATCCCCAGATGATCATGTACCTATGGCTCTAGGACTACGGCCTCCTCCATCTATGCCAGCAATGCATATGGAAGGCACCAGTTTTGGGAATGCTGGCATAGAGCTCAAAAATGACACTATGCCACTCTCTCTCATATGGGTGCTACTAGCCAAATGAAAGTAATGTAATAGTTTCTTATTTAAATATATAGACTAGATTGCCTTAAACTGCTTCAGGGAAGCAACAAATTTAGAATATAATGATGAAATGCCTGTTTAACTTAAAAAGCTAATGCACATACCAGTAACAAGATGACTGCACAAAAGCCTATCCAAAGAGAAAGTCATATAGACCCTACATATAGACTCAGGGTTTTGATAAACTTCCAGTTCATACCTTTTTTTGTCCCTCACCTTCACAGCCATACCTTCTTCACAACTTCTCTCTGTCCAATCTGAGGATATCTCGTTGATATCCAACAATACCACTGGTTACAATTTCCTTTTCGTGGGCCAAAACCAGGTGAAGCTTTATAGATCAAAATGAATATCTTCACATTCAGCCTAAAAGAACATGTCTTCTCAACAATAGCTATGTATACATGATACATAGCTCAATAACGAACTATACATCTGGCCTTTCTAGCCCACTATCAGCTACCTGGACAGGTACCTTCCAGGGTCTTCGACAAAAGTCTTTCTCAATACATCCAACTCGATCTTTTTAACTGGTCATGGCAAGGATTGGGCATGGGGCTTTCGCCATATAAAGGACAAGAACCTCTCCTACACTATGGCCCGCAGATATCTTGGCATCTTAGATCCAAGCATGCTATGTGCTAACCACTGAAAAAGCAAATGCGACATATTCTCAACTACCATTGGTAGCAATCACTTGCTCACTATAAAAACCAGAAGCCCACACAGGAGCCCAGCTGCCTGACAGTAAAAGATTACCACCCAAAGGCAAGTGAAGTTCATTATACCCAATCCACCAGAAACCTTCTGAATTACTTACAAGGCACAGCATGGCGATAAAGGTTATCTCTAATAGTCTGTTGCAGCTCGTGATCTGGAGATCCTTTCTGAAACCTCTGGTTGAGATAATGTCTCAGATCTTTGTTCAGACGACTTCCTGTAGGAAAGGAGAAAAGAAAGAAAAGAAATTACAGCTGAATTTAAAAGGGATTAAAATTTCCAGCTCTAGCAAATGTTAGACTTGCAATTTGCAGCTCCTCAGAATTATGATATGCTGCTTTTATGCATTTCTTCTGTAAATGGCTGATTACCAAAAATAACTTTCTGCAAATATGAGATCTCTCTGGCTTTATAACCCATCTTTGTTCCTACTGAAGCTAAAGAGATCATCATCTTCACACACACACGCGCACCCCAGTACATGTTTCTCTGAATACACAGAAAAGGACACAGATAAATTGGGAAAGAAACAATTGAAACGGGAGATTATTTCTTCTTCATATCCTTAGACAACAAGCTGGCCAAAGAGCAAGGCTAAACTCACAACAGCCTTTTATTCTTTTCAGATGAAGACATATATGAAGGAGCGCTTACATCCATATATGCCCGGCCGCCCCTTGAGATCTGCGGGAGAGGCCCTTCTCCGGGAACCCTCCATGAAAGAAATTAGGAGGGTAGGTACTCGGAGGAGGGCTTTCTCTGCGGTGGCGCCCAATCTATGGAATGCGCTCCCCAGATAGGTCCGCCTGG